ACTCATTCTTTTGTATAGTATAATTTTGCAACTGCACATATTTCTTCAGGAACACCAAACTGTCTAAAATACTAAACAAAAGTATATTGACAGAAAAAAGTACCCTTGTTGTTTAAAAATACACAAAGTTCTTATGTCTTTCTTTTGATTGGTCACAAAGTTCATATACTTGAAATGGATGACTTTTTTATCAAAAGACTGAGTGGAAAAATGAATGCATAGTGCAATGTGCTTGGTGTGGGGAGGCAAAAGACTTTATTTCTGAAGTAGAAAGATTTTCAACTTATTTTCAAACCAAGTAAGATGATGTGCACATTTTGGAAAAAAAGCAGAGAAATAATATGCTTTTTGCCAAAGTTCTTTATCCATCAGATGCTTTGCTTCAAACCTTTCATGCTTTCGACTATGTTTAGAATATATTGTTATGATCTTCATTTCTTTTATAGCTGAAAGCTGATTGCTTACCTGTGCTTGGATAACCATACTGGTCAAAGAGCCATTAATGACTATTTTGCTCATTCTCCAACCTGCTCTATCCAATTTGTTGCCTTCTCCCTTTATATTTCAAATTGGTGTTGATACTCTCAGAAGCCCCCTATTTATATACAAGATAGATGAATTGTTTGTTTATGAATTCATCTTCATAGGTGGCTTGGATTCACAGGTCAGTTTCGACCAAAGAAACTGGTATCTGACATCAAAGCTGAGTTGTCTAGTGTGGATGAATGGGAGCTGCCGATACTAAAGGACATTGGCAAGCATTTCTTGGAGAAGTCACTTTATGCCTTTGGTCTGTGCTCACAGCTATCTCTGACACCCTCTTCTTCTCTGTTATTGAGCACGGAAAAGCATGGCGAGAAGAAAGGACGCCGCTTGAGGGCCATGCTCTTTCATAAGGCAAGGATCTGAGGTCCTTTAACAGTTGGTGCACTGCTATTGGAATGTTAAATTTGTTTCTTTAGATGCTTTATTTATTATCTTTCATTTTCTCTAAGTTAATTAGCTTTTTAGTGCTATCTTCACTTTGATTAGGAGTAGTCTTATATATTCTTAGTAGGATAGTAATTATAGGCTTAAGATTGTAGTATATGTTTAAGGTGTTCAAGTTTTCCAGAGAAGATCTAAAGAAATTTAACCTTTATTTTCTCATATTACTATTGATGCACCATATGGCAAGATGTGCTTTAATTATAAGGATGCATTTTGCTCATTAAATGTGCTTCTACTACTAAAGTTGGGATGGCGGTGCTGCATCCACCGTCTTCATCCTATTAACTCATAATTTCATAATACCACACTTCAAAAACTTATTATGATGTGTGTAAAGTGCCAAAGTTTTAAATTCATGCCATTTGCCAAATATTCAGTTTTTTGGGCAAGCTTGATGGATTTTCAGCGTAGACATTATATTTGATGCTTTTAGATTTCGTAAATGATGCAGACTGATTCTGGCTTGCAGATTTTGGTCTTTTTATTTGATCCTTTAAGCCTGTTTGCGGACCCAGAGTAGGTATATAATATATGTTGGTTGTCTATTTTGTTGATACAGTTTTTCTGTTTTCTTCCTTAGATTTGTGCCCCCTTTAGGACATGCATTATCGTCCCTTTGCACTCTTAGGCTTTGTCGCATTCTTCGAGTTTTGGACCTAGAAGGCTACTTTACTTCTTATTTACTTTGATGGTGCATATTTTTTTTTTTTTGAGAAAAGTAACAGTTAGTCTATATATATCCACAGGTATACTTTGGTGGTGCATTTCAGCAATAACAAACATGGTTTTTCCTTGTATAACTAACCTAAAGGATATTTTGCTTAGTTTTCTCACTTTTGTTTAAATGAAATTTTGGAGTCTGTTGCCACTTTGTTGATATTGGAATACTTCAGTAGAGAAATAAATCTGAAATTGCTTCAGCTGGAGGACGATAAGATGGGATCTCAACTCTAAACCACTCTCTTAAAGCTAGATGTTTACTTATGCTGTTTAGTTGGGTTATAATTTAAACCCTGTATTTAGCACTGAACAATTTCTTGACTTTGTTAGCTCTCTAGCACTATGAAGCTAACACCTTTTGCTTATGCCTCTGTGAGCCCTTTTGCTTATTCAGTAATTCTGCATCTGCTTGCTACTTATTTAATGAAATACCTTAATTCATCAAAAAAAACAAAAAAAAAGGTCCCCTTTTTATTTATCCTAGCTCACTTTGGAAAAGATGAAGAATGTTGCTAAGTAAATTTTGGGGATTCCTGACTTATTAAAGAAATTAAATATGGGACACTATAACATACATGTAAATATACATGCGTTTGTCATAGCGTGCTCCTTTGTGGTTTAAGCTATGTTCCCAACTTATGAGCATTTACCATTGTGATGTTTGATTCACTATTCTTCTAAATTCATTGCAGCTTCCTGAGCACGACGTTACTTTGGAAGCAGCATGGCCTGAGCTATTCTTAGACCATAAAGGTAGATATTGGGAGGTCCCAGAGTCAATATCGTTGGACTGTTCATCGCTGGTTTCCGAGGATGGATTGCGATACCGTTTTGGTTTACATAAGAATGGTGGCCATCCTCGGGCTGTTGATAACATTACTGATGAGCCACCACTCAGTCTGATGCAAGGAATATGTGGAAAAGCAGCCGCTTCTTATGAGAAGAGCAAAGATTTCTGGAGAATCAAGGAAAAAAAAGAGGACATCATTATTGAAACAGATAAGGGACGGTTTTATCGCCCTTCTTATGATATTCGTCTTAGAGAGCCTCATGCAGCAGTATCTGGAATTATTGGTAACTTCACTGGCTTACAGAAAATTATAGTGTACTTATATGAATATAACTTGGTAGCTTCCAGATTCTTTTATGACATGGTTTGCTAAACTACACCAATCTTGTATGAATACGGGATCTGGATCTCAACTTCTAACTGAATGCGAATCATCAGAATCAACTCTCCAGCACTAAGATAAATACCTAGATTATTTCATATAGATAAACTGTTTGAGCTTATTCTTTCCTCAACATGAACTTTGTTGTGGTGCTTCTGCTAATTTCAATTATTTATGTGGAGGTATTTTGTAATCAATGTGGAACACTTTAAGATCATTGTTACACACCCTTCAAAAATATTATTTTCTAACTTCGATAAATTTAAATGACTTAATGGGTATGGTTAATTCTTCAGCATGTTCCTGGGATATTGAAGAAGTGAACAGTATTTTCCTTTAAAAGCTGACCAACTTTATAATCTTTGGGGACCTGAACTCGTTGGAGTTTCATAGTGCGATTGGTTCTAATGAAATTGGCGGTGTGACAATTTCATGCATATATGATGCTATCCAATGGTGCTACCCCTAAGTCGCAGCACTCACAAAGTAGCTTTACTTACCTACTCCCTTGTATTGGTTCTTCTGGAATTAGTGGTGTGACAATTTTATGCATATATGATGCTACGTTAAAGTCGCAGCACTCACAAAGTAGCTTTACTTGCCTATTCTCTTGTCTAATCATGTACTTCAACTTGTTGCTTAGGGGGAACTCTTGAGGCATGGCTCAACAATGGTAGCAGCAGTTCCTCTGCTTCGAGGCATAGAAGTCCTTTTGGTGTTGATCTATTTGGTTCACTTTGCTATACTTTTCAACATGGTAAATTCAAAGAGTCCTTTGGAGACCTCACAAGGGTAGATGCTCGTTTAGATGTCTCATCTGCTTTAGGGTTAGCCAAACAGGTTTCAAAAGTCATCAGAAAAGCATCATCTAATAATACAAGAGACGTGCTCTCTTCACCCAGACTCGAATTGATACTTCAGCAGCAGGTAACTTCCAAATATTTCTTCTGTCACATTGTCTACAGAGGTAACTTGAATGTATCAGCATAGTTATTAGAATATCGTACAAGTTATCGTATAAGCTCCTTAGTTTCTGTAACAAGTAAATGCATTTTGGGGAAAAACAAGTAGGACTGAGGGTTTGTTTGGTAAATTTTTTCCGATTTTTTCATGTTTGGTTGGTCCGAGATGTTTTGAACAACATTTTCTGTAAGAAAACAAGCTCCTTAAAACTCAGGAAATGACTTCTCTAGAGAAACAACGATATACCCAGGGTAATGCTACAGGTGGGATTTGAGAAGGGTAGAGTGTACCCTACCTCATGGAGGCAGAAAGGCTGTTTCTGAAATGACTTCTTTAGTGCGAGTAGATAAAACAAGTTCTATTAGTGGCATTCCAAACTCATTGTCCCCCTCCTTCCCCAGCCCTCACACCTGGACTACCCCACTCACCCACCTCGTCCCATAGTGTTTTGTTGGATTAGATATAAATGTTCTTAGAAACATCGACTTGCCTACTTTAACAAGAACCAAAAATAAGAGAAACCCACTTATTTTCCAAGAAAACATTATCCTTTTTTTTTTATTAGGTAATTGATGTATTTGACAATGATTTATAAATTTATGTTTGCCTTTCAAATGCAGGTTGCTGGACCAATGGTGTTCAGAGTCGATTCAAAGTTTTCACTGAATTCACCTACTGGCGTACAATTGGAAGATTTTGTATGCAGTTTAAATTATTCCTTAAAGCTTCTACAGTCTGGGAAAGTGGTAGCATGGTATTCTCCCAAAAGGAAAGAGGGAATGATTGAGTTGCGCCTATTTGAGTTTTAGAACTGTTTACTTTTGTATTGAATGCGTTGTAGTTACTGTTCTTCTCACTAAATACGATATGTTATTTCTTGGCAAATGACCCTTGCACCTGATTCACAGGCAATTTTGTTCATTTTTCAATACTTTTGTTACTTTTTTATTTCTCGTGTTTAGAATTCCCGTTCTTTAGAGGACCTAAAGATTCAAAGCAACAGTATACGTTTGTTAGAAATGTTTTGGATGATCAAATGTTCCTATTTGTCAATGGTATTATACTACTTTAAGTCATTCAATATTCCTTAGACATGCTTCAGTTTGGTGATATGAAGTACCAACAGATAAGTTCAATCAATAGCATAGGCACAAATTAATAGATAAAAAGAGGTGGCATAGATAGTGTAATTGACAATTTTAACTTAAATCTCAATATTTCTGCCTGTAAATCAGGAAAATGATCCACAAAATATAAATTTCAACATTTTTGTTCTACAAAAGATGAGATTGTACGACACATCCCAGAGTCTTACTGTCTTTTCACTAAGAACCTGACAAAACTTAGCGTCCTAACGTAAATGCAAATGTGAGACACTTCATTCAACCAAAGCCAGCAATTCGCTCTCCTTACAGAAACAATGCCTTGCATCAGTACCCAAATCCACCTGATACCAACATATGTACGTTAGGTTCACAGATATCATATAATCTGTCAAACAAGACACTTGTAAAACTAAAGTTACATCCTTTTTGCTGACATACCGTCCAAAATCAACTATAAGCTAATCTAGATGGAAAAAAACATAACGTAACAGGCATGCTTTTTTCTTTTCAGCTGCTCCAAATAATTACTTGCTCTAGCAAATTCAAGCAATTTAGAACCAATCACAGCATAAAATAGGTAGATCTAGAACCTTTTTCATTTTTTGTTGTTCCTGTAATAACTAATTAAACTCCTCACCTAGCATGAGCAATTACTTTAATCGTTTCCAATGTTTGAAAAAAATACATATACCAAGGGTTTTGAAAACTCTAACCAAACATCAACTGCTTAAGCAACCAACATTTCATCATTCTAAAGGCCATCACTGAGAGCATCCTGACACGAATAACCTAATCTCAAGCTCGACATCACGATATATCCCTTTGCTCAAAAATACAGAACACATGAACAGGACAGAAGTTTGACATACTCCTCAAGGATCCACCCCATGCTCCATCAAGTTTGTCATGCAAAACAATAGTTACACATTCTACTTAGATTAACCTAGCAATAACTAGGTAATAAGCAGGTTTTAGGTGACCAGCGAATTGATCTTTCAAAAACCAGGTAAAGTGGACTATTGATCTTGAGTAGTCTTCTTCACTGTAATCCTGTACTACATCAAAACCTCAATTTACAAAGAAGACTAGATCAACATCAATTGTCGGAACTCCTTTTCTTTTAGGCTTCTACATTGTCCAGTGAATCACTCAGGTAGGAACCAGTTGTACTGTAATTCTGTAAAGTTCATTAGATAAGACAAATTTAACAGTCTCCTTCTTAATATATTCAATGGTCCCTACAATTAATCAAGACATTAGATTATACTAGCAAGGGAAATAAAAGGAGTCAAACAAGTCCAAACCATTTTGCAAACACCGTCCTATCAAACTAGAAGAGAACATAAATAAATGATGCTTCTAGAAGCATTAATTTGTAAAGAAGATAATTTAGGTCCAATCCACAAAGCCAAAATATGATAAAAGTATGTATTTGAGCAGTGTGCTTAGGAGTGTCAATAAGCACAACTATAATGAGCCTACTAGTAAAACACGTACCTCGTAAGCATTAATGTCAGAGAAAAGAACCTGCAAAAGTGCCATATCATCCATTCAGAAGAAAGTACAAACACACAAAAAAAAAAAAAAAAAAAAGGGGAAATGAATAATCCAAATCATCAAAAAAAAACTCAATTTTCATATGATAAGAACAACACTAATATTGAATTTTGCAAGGTAAACCTGGTTAAGATCGAACGAGAGTCTCGATTGAACGCAAAATTTGGGGAAAATTTAGCGGATTTGAAGAGGAAAAGACGGAAATTCTTCGGGAAGCACAAGGTCGACGTCGTTTACAAAGAAAAAATCTATAGATGCCTCTGAATAGGCTTCACTTTCGGTTAACGCTATTTGGCTCTCACCAGCATATGACAGTGATACTATTTAATTGTTGTAGTAATTTTCAAAGCATATAATAACTGTTTTTTTCTTACAAATAATAAAATATGACTTCACATTTGAATAATAGCACGTTTATTTGAAAAAAAATACTTTTTTTTTATTTGGTCCACCAATATAAATATCTCAAAGTTAGCACAAACTATTAATTTAGTTTTCGAACTATTGACAGTTTTAAAAATACTTATTTTCTCGATTAATTAAATTTAGATACACTTTTGATTTGTCATATTATGCAGTAAGTGGTCTCAAACTTTCGTATGAGCATTGAGATCTTGATAAAAGATCGAGATCACCTCCAATCCCCAACAGAGAGATTAGAAGCACAAGTGTGAAACACTATAATTTGACAATTCTTTGCAAAGAAACTAGTACAATGAAAGATAAAAATGAACCAGGTGTGTTTGGGATGGAGGAAATGATTTTCCCATGTTTGGCTGGACAAAATTTTTGGAGAACATTTTCTCTAGGTACACAAGTTCCTTAAAATGAGGAAACTGACTTCCTTAATGGAAGTAAGGAAAACAAGTTCTATAAGCGACATTCTATGTTTATTGTATTCTCCCACCCACCTAACGCTCCCAACTCCTATGCGTTGACCATCCCACCCGACCACCCTGAGGCCCCACACCCCATTACTAAAGCCTTTTTGCTAGATTACATATAAATACTCTTGAGAAAGCATTTTTTTGCTTACTTATCAAACATTAAAAAATATGTAAGAAACCAACTTGTTTTCCAAGAAAACATTATTCTCCTTCATAACAAACACACAATTAAAGAAAACCTTGACAGACATCCACTTAAAACCATCAAAAGGCTTACCTTCTTTCCAGTTTCTACTTGTGCAACCTCAGCACCAACGGAGAGAACCTAGAATTAACAAATTGGGTCAGTTATGAAAAGGATATCTACTATCATCATACACATCTCTTATCTGTCCAAATGAACAAATAATGTGCATAAAACTTACTTCTCCCATAAGATACCGCTCAAACTTCACTGCCGATTTTGGGAGCAAAACTCCACCAGCAGATTTCTGCAGACAAACTCTTTCTTTTAGTAAATATATTACAGAAAGGTAATATAACACTAGAGAAACCAAAATTATCCTATTCTACTGCACATATGTGCCAAAAAATCAGTAGGTTGAATAGCTTGCATCAACCAAAATGTCCATTGTCCAGACTATTTTAATAGCAGACATAAGCTGTTTATCTTAGATAAGAGAATAAAATTGCCAGGTGCATTACAAAGAACAAATCTAATAAGAAGCAATCATTAAGGGAGATACGAGGTGGGGAGAACAAATAAAGAGATGTGCTCGTTGAACTCTAGAAGACCTAGTAGCACTATATTCGTGTAATCAGATAGTAGGACAAATTAGTCATGTCCCAAGATGTGACAGAAGTTTCATTTGAGAAAGTTGAATAAAGATTAAGTTACTCAATCTTGCCAATACCAAAGCATGAAGGATTTTATACATACCTATAACATATTGCATTAGCATGCCATTTCTTTTTTGTCACAAATGAAGTGTCAAATACATTAATCCATATGATGTAAACTAGTTTAATCCTTTCTGAAAAACAACCTTCCCCTGTCATACAGTATAAATCTTTGAAACCAAGCATAAATGTTCCCAACACTCTGTTAACAGTACTTCTAGAACATTAATTTTGGTTCAGTGGTTTCAACAGCATAAACTTGATAGCACCTCCATTAAACACATAAATCCAGTTTGCACAATACATACAACAGTACAGTTCAATTAGGTAAATTGGAAAAAAGAGAAACCATTAAGAGACATGTGTGAAAGTACCTCAGGCAACTCCTCTAACCGAATCAAAACTCTATCAGCTTGCGGCACAACCTATATTCATAACAAACAAAATCAATAACAATTATGTAATTCACTTTGACTTAAAATAAGCATAAAGGTGTCACCTTTGTGGGTTCCCATTTCTTGGAAATGGCATTAATTCTCAAAGAATTTCTTTTCAGACCTGTCCAAAACCCAAAAGGGTAAAAGTAAAAAACAAGAAAACATAAAATATCATAAAGAAGGAGATGGGGTTGTGAGATATGTACCAATGGGTCTTTGAGGAGAGAAAGAAGGAAGATTTGTGGAGTGAGAAGTGAACGGTTTAGCCAATGTAAGGAAGGTAGACGCCATGGATAAGGAGAGAGGAGCAGCAGTGAATAGTGTGTGTAGGTGTTTTGGTGACACAGTCCAAAAAGGGCATATAAAAGGGTGGTGAAGGGTACAATTGTAAATACACATACAAAAGATTATTGGTTTCTTTTTCTTTCTTCTAGATTGTTCCATACTTGCACAAATTTGGAGCAGTGAAGGGGTACCATTGGGTAGGGTAAAGTTATTTTCGTGTAATTTATAAGTTACATATTTGAATTGAGGAAATGAAATGAAGTGCAAGTGAATTACTTTACCACATCTTCTCCAAACCCTATTAATGAATAAGTAGTAGTAGTAGTATTTTTTCAAATCTATAACAATTGGTGTAATGCTTAATTTGAAAGAAATGAGTTTTGAATTGTGAATATAGAAAATTAATTTAAAATTAAATAAGCATTGTCGAAAAATTTGAGAACAATAGAAATGACATCATTACAAATTTGAAGAAACACCTGAAAATTTATATATACATATTTGAATTTTTGTCTTGACAACTCAATTTTTTAATGAGATTGTTGAAACTTTCTTTGATAAACCAAGTTTTGTCAAACTATAGATACAAATTAACAAAAATTAATCAACTTCTAATATGGTGATCCTACATTCGATTAAACGTGTACTTACATTAGGCTTTTTTTCCTCTCAAATCAACTCATAATTGCTCTAGATTTCTCTCTCCCTCTCAAATTAACTTATCAAGTCACTAACATTAACATTGCTTTAGGCCTGGTTGAGCTTAATGTATTTTCATTTACATCTGATTCACTATAGTAAATTACATTAAAAATTAACTTACTAGAATAATAAGGTGTCTATTAACTACTTTGTAATCAAGCATGTTAGTCATCACTATTAACAAACATTCTTATGGATGAAGTGGTGGGTGGGGACAATGAATTTTCTCATAATTTTGCTCTAATACAGAAATCAAACAACAGCTACTTGGGACCACCACTGTCTTCCTTTCTCCTTAATCTCTGCAACAAACTCAATCATTTCTACACTTTCTTGCTAATCATCCCTTTTTTATGTTTCCACCAAGAAAGAACCCTTTTTTCACTCTCCATACTACACTAACCCTGTCTACATTGTAATAGGCCAACACCCATCTCAGAAAGTTTCCTACTTTTTCCTTTTTATCCCCTTTTTTCTCAAGCTCACATTTTTGGGTTGTAATGATGGTGAAGAAGCTTTGCTGCTTTCAGTATTTTGCTCTTTGGAGTCTCCTCATGGCTGTTCTTGTTTCCTCCAAGCACCATGGTAAACTCCCATTCCTTTTATTTTCTTGGTTATTTTTGGCATTTGGCAATTTTACTTGGAGTGTATTCTGTTTCCAACTATCTGGTGGTCTAAAAAGTTTATGCTCTAAAAAACTCATCTTTGGATGAGTTATCTTCATAGTCTAAAATGGCTAATTAGTCAGTCCTTGTGAGAACTGTTTTTTTGTTTTTACAGTGAAGGGATTTGATGAAAAATGTTATATTGCTGAAAAAGGGACTATATGTTGAGGGAGGAAGGGGTGTGGCATTGTTAGGCTCTAGATTCAAGGTTTTGCTTTTGTTGATTTTAGTTGATGTTTTAGCATTACTACACTTATTTCCAGTTGGGTTTTGACTAGTTGATCTCAGTTAATGTTTTAGCGCTTTACTAGACAAATTTCCATATTTATAATACTTGCATTCTTGTAGTAAGAAAGGTCTTTGGTGTTGTAAGAATCCATGTCCATAGAAAGAAGATGAAGCTTAAACTGGTACTCTAGTTTCCTAGTGTTGATATAGTAATATATGAAGCCAAGCCTATAATTGGCTTTATGGACTGGATGTAATGGGTACCAATATCCACTTGTTCCCATTGAACCCATATAGATCTTAACTTGTAACCACAGGTGGAACCAGATTCTTTAAAATTTGGAGCTGATTCAAATTGCTCATGAATTAAACATATTAAGAAGAAGAAAGTTGGAGGGACATGCTAAGTGTAATTTTCTTTAGAAAAATAAAAAATTTTAACTATGAAATTAGTAGCAAGAAGTTGCCCTTGCCCTCCCTCAGAACAGAATTGTGTCACAGTCCTGGCTTCATTTAGCACTTGCTACAGTTTGCTTACTATATATGATTTTTGGATTACTTTAGTGTTCTTCAAGAAACTTTTACTTGGTAGGCACTGGCTCACTCACTCAGACAATACGGTTTTGTCCCCTTCTCCCATATGGAGTCACAGGCTGCCTGATGCTTATCGAGCTTCCTTTTTGTGAATCGACCACGTTCATTTGATTAAATCAAGGACACAATCCGCCTGGCTTTGATGCACTATGTCTTTGTTCCTTCCACAATCTTATTTATTATATTCAGCATTCTCAAGTTTTCTGACTGTGAATACCTGGCTTTAATCTTTTTTTTTTTATGGCTTGTCTAACATACTCTGAGATCCTTAAGAACACTCGAGGAGGAATGTTGAGTAAATGAAATGGATTTGAATAATAGAGGGTCTACTTAGTTTTTTAGTACCCGTGTCCTAAAAGCCACTCAATATGTCTAATTCTTTACCTTGTAACAATTTGAAATAACTGATGAAAATGTAAGCTGGTAGAAGAGCTAGTTAGATAGATTGTTAGTCCACTCTTACATTCATGCTGGAGAGTCCTTTGTTTACTTCCTGAGTCCTCCATCATTTAGACGTTTCATCCTCTTATGTCCTTTTGTTTGTCTTCCCTCATGTTCTTAGCTGGAATTTTAAGTGATCCTAGTAATATGAAGCTGAAATACCCATTTATCTAAAAAGTGGAGAAGAAAAGAAGCTAAAGGAAGAATTTAGTTCAGTTTTAGACCGAGATCACTAATGCAATACCCAAGTTTACGAGTAAGGAGCCAAAATTGCAATTCCTCTAAGGAATGAACAAGATACATAAGGGATATGAAATCGATATTTAGAGAAGTCGTATTCCAAAGGAAGAGTTGTAAAGAGGAAAATGAAGAAGAATAGACTTGGCCAGTGTCTGAAGTTTAAGCTTGGAGGGTATTGGTGGCTGTAAGAACTTATCATCTGATATTAGTTAAAAACAAGGGCTACTACAACCACATTGCCTCTTTGGATAGATGAAGGAATACAACATGAATATTTTTAGAAACAAATGACATAAAAAGGGTCAAGTGTCAACCTGTAGATCTGACACCTCCCGATGGGTCTTGAGAGCTGGGGGTGATTAATTACTATATATAGCATTGAGTGATCAGGTTCTAGAAACATAAGTTTCGGAGGAACATCTATAACCTACAGAACTAAATTAGCAGGGAGTTGAGCAAAGTTTTCTAGCTTAAGTATATTGTCTTCGAACTTCGAAATAGCATTGTTTTGCAATTGATGAATTTAAAGGAACAATTGAATTTAGTACCCTTTCTTTAAACCAGCACCTCATTGTTTGCTGTGCTGAGTGCTACAGGAAATTCTGCAAATGACCTTGTTGATATCATTAACAAGAACAGAACTGATCAAAAGCTTCCTCAACTTAGCAACAGTCCTGGACTTGGGTGCATAGCCTTGCAATATGCAGAGGAATGCATGGGGAACTGCAGTTCAAACAACAGTGTAAATTGTCACCCTTCTGAAGATGACTTCACCGAAATTTTTGCTCCAAACTGTGGCGTTGAGCTACCCACTTTTGGGACCATATCTGGTCACATTCTCGGCTGTCAACCAAAGTATCTCGAGCCATTGGAAGCCTTCTCAAATGTACTTGTTCATGACAAAAGAACTCTTTCTCTTTTGAGGAACAAAACTTATACTGAAGTTGGAGTGGGGATTATCAAAGCTCACAAGCACAAAGGACCTTACTTATGGTGCATTTTGTTTAGTAGTAGCCAGAGAAACACCACATTCGTACTTGATGATCTTGGTGAAGGGATTAAGCAGAAGAAAGGATGCTATAGTGGAACCAGCTTCCCTTGCAGCAGAGCACATAGAGACAAAGGTCTTTTATCGAACAAAATTGGGATTTTGGTTCTGCTCTGTGTTATCTTCTTTCAAGAATTCCTTCTCAAACTTCTCTGATATTACTATATATCTCTACTCAACTAAAATTTTGTCTCTCATTTTGCTGAATCAATCTTGAGCATCCATTCATGATTCATTTTAAATTTCTCATAACCAGGAATTTGCTTGTTATTGACATCAACCTAACCACAGCCAGCAAAGAGGGAACATGAATATGTGTAACAGTTTGTGCATGTGTTTTATACATCCATTACACTGCACGCAACACATATGACCTTAACATAATTTCTATTGCCATGTTGTGATAAAGATATAAATCCAAGCTTTGAACATTGAGCAAAGAAGTTCAAATCAATACCAGTTGAAGTCCCTACATATGTAGTAATTGCCTTTTCTCTTATGATCCCTATAGTCATGCTAGTGAATTTCAGAATATTATACATCTAAATGTTCTGTTTATCATCAATTAGAAAATCCTCTGGTGGGACTTGGACTTAATAAGTCCTAACATCTCTTGGCCTATATGCAAATTGTCATGTATGATGATAACAGTATACTTATGTGACCGAGTGACTTAGAGAAAATATACAATAACAATGACTATGCCTCAATCACAAGTCAGTTAACTGATAAGAGTATACTTATGTGACAGGTTGCTATATGAATTCACATTGTCCATATCGTTTACGTTTAAGCTATCTCAACCTCTTAAAATAAATATATATTTCTGTATGACCAAAAGTAATTACTATAGAGAAATATGGAGCCACCTGATCACAATGAAATGAAAGATTTGGTGAAGTACACATACATAGTTGGTCTTACCAAAACCAACAAAACAAAATCATTGGCCAGAAGGCACTCAAAGCGGAAACCATTTGGCAAATAATACATACTTTTCAGCATATTTCTTGAAAATATTTGGGGTCACTATTTTTTTTTTTCTTTTTTCCCCACCTAATATTGGTGTCACTGTGCATAGACAAGACGCAATATGTTGGATGACTATTTTACCTTAGGGAGATTAAGGTTGACTTAATCCAATACACGTACAATTTCTAGCTAATTTACCTCTACTAACCTCAAATTAACACTTGTCCTTTTAAAGAAACTTCTATAAACAACAAATTAACTAACAATATCATTATAATCCCACATAGCACCCTTGGGTGTGGGTTAGCAGTTGACAAAACCAGATTCAAAATTTGAACTTTGAGTTTCAAATTCTAGAACGTCTTTAATGTTAATAATTGACTTATGAATTTAACATATATACAAGTTTGCGCCAAAGTAACAAATCAACGCACAGTATAATCATTAGTCATGACACACACAAAGAGACCAACATGAGACGTTGCATGATTCTTTGCACTTGACTAGGTGAACAAATCAATAGGAAGATAATTTCGATTCACCTGATCAACAGGAAGATGACATGTTTAACTTGTGTATCAACACTAAAAAAACGAGTTTTTCTTCTATTCTATCTATCTAGCCCCTAAATAAAAATTTAGAAAAGAGGAAAAAAATACATAAAATTCAAAAGAACAGATTTTTAATTAATTATTTTTTGACAAAGAAAAAGTTGGTGGACGAATGTTTGCTTTAGATTTGGCTGCATTTTTGAGTCCTTTAATTTATCCACGCATTAATTTTTATTTTGAAAGAGATTCTTTGACTGCGTGCATGACAAGTAAATATATTTAGTAGAATTAGTACTAAAGACAATATCGGGAAAAGTTGCTACTTTTTATTTTGTTGGATTAGATCAACTATATTTATGTTTTTTATTTCTCTAAATCATGAAACAAGTGACCTCAAAATTTAACTGAAAAAATATTCTTCTTCTACTACTACAAGTATTAATCATTCTTAAAGCATCTTCTTGTTGCCCCCTTGCTTTATTTTTGTTTGATCAACTGTTTTTATCTTTTGTTCTCGTCTCTTTTTGCCCTTTTTCATCACACAAGTATATGAGCTAATGTACCAACTAAAAAAGCAATATTCATGTTAGGAAATATTCCAATATGTTTTCTTGGAACCATGACTTGTCTTATAATTTTAATCGGGAGATCACGAATTCGAGTTGTGAAAATAATTTTCCGTAAATTTTTTAGGATAAGGCTGCATACAATAGACCCTTGTGATCCGATTTTTTCCTAAATTCTAGGCATAGCAGGAGCTTAGTGTATCAGACTGCTAACTTTTTTTTTTTACTTGTATGCAATTATGCATTTGTTAAAAATAGGATAGAAACTTCAAGCATTTACCATGAATTCTATATTATTTTAATTTTAATAAAGACGACTCACAACAACAATTAATAATAGCTATAATTATGTCTCAATTAGAAGCAAGTTGTGTTTGTTGTATGACGAATTATCAATATTCATGTCGCTCCATTTGAGATGTTGATCATATTATAATAACTCCACTTAGGGTGTGTTTGGTATGAAGGAAAATGTTTTCCATGGAAAATGTTTTCCTAGAAAATGTTTTCTTGGAAAACAAGTTGATTTTTGACTTATTTTCTCATGTTTGGTTGGTGATTAGAAAATATTTTCCGGAAAAGATTTTTAGTGTTTGATTTATGAATGAAAAATATTTTTGAGAAATATCTTTTATTTTTACTAGAGTAGAAAATACTTTTTAAAAACAAACTTAAATTTTTTTCCATAAAAGAAATAAAACAATTAATTGTTCTCTTGTTAGCGTACGTTTTCTGCATATTTACCTAAAGTAACAACTATTTTTTGGGGGGTTGACCGTTTAGTTGTGGGTAGAGAAAGATCTATAATTTTAAATTAGTGGATACAAAGTAGCATTACCACATAATATTTCTTCATTTCAACAATGATATTCAATTAGCGTCTAAAATATATTTACATAATCAAATTATTTAAACGGTAATAGCAAGAACTGATCTAACATATTATAACATATCAAATTACACATTAAATAAGTTAGCAGATTTTTTTGAATCAGATTTATTTTCAAATACTCCTATCTGTTTAATCAAAGTCTCTAAATATTTTACGTTTCCTAAAACAGCTCAAACTAGATTTTGAGTTTTTGAGACTATCACTTCCGAAACTTCATATTATTTTCAAGTAAAATACATATTTAAATATAACTTTTTTAACTCAAATTTTCTAATTACAATTTTTAACTATAAAATCTATGATCAAACGAGAGCAAAGTTTAAGTTGGGGGAAGGACTTGACTTGAGACGCCCAAGGGTATGAAAACTATTCTTATATGGCAGCAAGTTGTTTATAGTTTTGACATTCTTTTGTCAACGTATGTATGTACAAAATAGTTGTGCAAACATGGAGGTGAATTCTCCAATATTAGGTTATAGATCAATTATTTTTGTCCCAAAGTCCTTATCATTAATTAATTAAGATTTCAAACTAGGATTCTTTGACGTGCCCTGTCATGCACACATATTTTATCCTATCTTACTAGGTAATGACATGTACGTGTTTTAAGATTTTACTCTTCCTATTATTTATATTTATACAAGGAAATTCATTGACCACCAAGCTTCTTCAAGATATTATGTCATCCCATATGTGTAATATAATTTCTCATGTTTGATGTTCGTAGTCTATTTATTAGAGTCTCTATTAAATTCGAATCACACATTGTAGGGTTCATTATAGGATGATGCTCCTAACATGATTTTCTTTTTCATACCCTAGACTCGAACTCGAGACATCTAGTTAAAGATGAAGCAATCCGGCGGTGGTACCACAACCATGTTGGTTGATATATACTTCTTTGACTATTCACCTTAATTACGAGAACAATTTAAACACTTGTACCTACGCCGTTTGCCTCAATTGCTCTCTTCAACTATTTTACCAAAGACAAGAAAACTTGCAAATATTTTATCTAAAATTATATTCTATAAAAATTAAATTTGATACTCAAATCTTTCTCTAGTCTCATGTTACTCCTATTGAACTTTTAGATTAAGGGTGTGTTTGGTACGAAGGAAAACATTTTCCGGAAAATGTTTTCCTTCGTACCAAACACACCCTTAATCTAAAAGTTCAATAGGAGTAACATGAGACTAGAGAAAGATTTGAGTATCAAATTTAATTTTTATAGAATATAATTTTAGATAAAATATTTGCAAGTTTTCTTGTCTTTGGTAAAATAGTTGAAGAGAGCAATTGAGGCAAACGGCGTAGGTACAAGTGTTTAAATTGTTCTCGTAATTAAGGTGAATAGTCAAAGAAGTATATATCAACCAACATGGTTGTGGTACCACCGCCGGATTGCTTCATCTTTAACTAGATGTCTCGAGTTCGAGTCTAGGGTATGAAAAAGAAAATCATGTTAGGAGCATCATCCTATAATGAACCCTACAATGTGTGATTCGAATTTAATAGAGACTCTAATAAATAGACTACGAACATCAAACATGAGAAATTATATTACACATATGGGATGACATAATATCTTGAAGAAGCTTGGTGGTCAATGAATTTCCTTGTATAAATATAAATAATAGGAAGAGTAAAATCTTAAAACACGTACATGTCATTACCTAGTAAGATAGGATAAAATATGTGTGCATGACAGGGCACGTCAAAGAATCCTAGTTTGAAATCTTAATTAATTAATGATAAGGACTTTGGGACAAAAATAATTGATCTATAACCTAATATTGGAGAATTCACCTCCATGTTTGCACAACTATTTTGTACATACATACGTTGACAAAAGAATGTCAAAACTATAAACAACTTGCTGCCATATAAGAATAGTTTTCATACCCTTGGGCGTCTCAAGTCAAGTCCTTCCCCCAACTTAAACTTTGCTCTCGTTTGATCATAGATTTTATAGTTAAAAATTGTAATTAGAAAATTTGAGTTAAAAAAGTTATATTTAAATATGTATTTTACTTGAAAATAATATGAAGTTTCGGAAGTGATAGTCTCAAAAACTCAAAATCTAGTTTGAGCTGTTTTAGGAAACGTAAAATATTTAGAGACTTTGATTAAACAGATAGGAGTATTTGAAAATAAATCTGATTCAAAAAAATCTGCTAACTTATTTAATGTGTAATTTGATATGTTATAATATGTTAGATCAGTTCTTGCTATTACCGTTTAAATAATTTGATTATGTAAATATATTTTAGACGCTAATTGAATATCATTGTTGAAATGAAGAAATATTATGTGGTAATGCTACTTTGTATCCACTAATTTAAAATTATAGATCTTTCTCTACCCACAACTAAACGGTCAACCCCCCAAAAAATAGTTGTTACTTTAGGTAAATATGCAGAAAACGTACGCTAACAAGAGAACAATTAATTGTTTTATTTCTTTTATGGCCACGTTGGGTCCTTCTTGTTAGGGGTAGGAGAAGAGGCCAGGAGGGTCTATCAAAATATTAAAGTAGAAAAATTATAGGACCAACATTTTTTTTACAGCTAAATGGGGGCCATACTCTTATTACTCTCACCATTTATAGCCTGGGACTTGACCCCTTTTTGTCTCATACCTCCATCTATAAACACATAATAATCGACTCCAAGAGGATAATGGATTCGTCCCCCTATAGTTCGTTGACACAAGGTTAGCTTATTTGCTTGGATTTTTGGTTAACTAACCACCAATTCATATCCTTACATATGAAACTTTGACCATATCTTTACTAATGATGTATTATTATTAAGTAAGAATATAAAAGATCCAATACCAATTGAACAAGTTAAGTTCCAACCAAGTTGAGATATTAATGAGAACACTAGTTTTTTTATATGATTTCATTTAAAACCCCAACCAACTCATCGCTAGCTATTCAATCCCAATAATCACTCCAACAATAGTGCTATTTTGACTTGTGATTTTTTCAAATCCTCGTAAAGAATAGAATCATTACCATTCATGGACATGCTTTAACCTAGATTAAAAAAAGAAAAATGTAAAACAAAAAAAAAGTAAAAAATGGGTTAAATTGTTTCTACTATGTACACACTAATTTTTTTGGTTGCTAAAATCCACTCACAAAAATAATGGATATTGGAGTGGAAATAGCAAATCTTTGATGTTTTTTTTCCCACCTTTTTAGTGTATATCAAGAGAGTATACTAAAAGACAATTTTGCCCCTGTAATGCAAACGAATATACAAATTCATACCCCTGAGAGCCAGCGAAACAATTCGCTAATCTCCTCCCCAACCCGGCCAGCTTCCAAATCGTCAATGGGAACGACGGTGTCGCTCCGCCGGCTACTTCCGTTGAAAAACCTTCCGGAGCTCCGAAATGACACTGAGCGAGATGAGAGAGAAAGTGAAGCGATTCTATCAACATAGTCCCTAAGCCAACTCCGTCCACCACCGGAAACATCCGAAGCTATGCTTTCTCCAGGAGGCGCCGGTATCGGTACTCCTATCGATTCCTTGTCGGTGCATTCAGAAGCACCTCTTTGGTGAATAGAGCCAGCTGAAAGTTCGTAACCGTCATCCACAATATACTCGAACGAGCCAATCGAGTACGATCTCTGACCATCACCACTGAGTGAATCGGAACCGCCACGTCGGCGACTTACACTACCGAACTCAATCCGAAAACTACCACTATTCCGTAGCTCATTATTCCCGGCGCGAGCGTCGTTGTTTTCCGCCGCTAACACTTTACTTAGCACATCTGCGTCCGTAGGATACACAGGAGACCTGCAGAGAGGACAAGTTTGGTTTGTTACAAGCCACGCGTCTATACAACCGCTGTGGAACGCGTGTAAACACAGCGGAAGCAGACGTAACTGATCGTCCGGCTCAAATTTCGATAAACAAACAGCACAATCCACGCCAGTTAAATTTCCAGTAACAGAACGGAAACAAAAAAGCGGTAACGATTCAAGTAATTTCTCATCTTCCGAACTCCGTTGATTCTCCAAACAACGGTTTCTGGTAACCGCTGCCGCAGCAGCAGCAGAATGCGATACTACATCATCGGCGGTGGCGTATGTACGGAAGGAGCGGTGGAACCGCCGGGAGAGAAGGCGAAGGATGAGGTATATAGAAGCAGAAACGATAATAGCAGAGGCAATCACAATAACGACAATAATGAACGACGAAGAGGAAGACGATGATGATGATGAAGGAGTTTGATCATTGATAACGGCAGTGTTATCAATAGGTTGAGTCATGGCGGTGTTGGGAATAGCTCCGCCGTTGACGGTGGCGGTGAAAGGCATTGGGAGAGGCGGAGACTGAGGGAAAAAGGCGGACATTTTGTCTAGATTTGAGGAGGAAAATGGAGGTGGAATAAGGGAGGTAATAAATAAGGTGATCAGAAAGAGAGAGGAGATATTTAAGAGGAAACAGATAAAAGTAGAGAAGGCATGTTGTGTCTTGTGTTTGTGAATGGAGAGGTTTTAATGTGGGTTTGGTTCGAGGTTGGGGACTTAGATCTAACATTTTAATTTTTAAGATAAATAAAATGACTATTTTATTATTTTATTAATGTAACATCTTTTAAATTTTAAGATTTAAACAAATAATTTTTTATAGTAATTTTTTTATATATGTGCTTATAATATTTTTGGAAATATATTGAAAAATAATTATAGTTAATAATGAAGATAAATTATGAATCAAGTGATAAATTATCTTTTAATTTTCTAAACTAGCCAAGTAAAAATGAACATTTTCTTTTAATATAGTGGACGAATGAACTACTCCGTCTATTTTCATATTACTTGGCTCGTGTTGAATGTTGATATCTTACACATCCCTTGAGAAAATTTTAATATATAAATATAGTTGATATATGTAAAAATTATCTTTTATTAGTTGACCATCAAAGGATATGATGTAGTGAATACGTCTGTTTCTTAACTAGATATCTCAAATTCAAGCTTTGAGTATGAAAAAAATCTTAATAAAGAATGTTTCATCTCAAATAAGACTTTATGTAAAATGAATTCAAATTAATCGGACTCTAATATCAATATCGAACGTGAAGGGAGGTTGGAGGTGAGGTGAATGGGAGGAGGTTAGAGTGAGAACAAAACAACGTTAGTGGAAAGATGGTACGGAAATTCCAAATTTTAGTTAGTTGAAAGGAAAGAAGACTGGAGTTGAGTAGGTAAGCGAATTGAATATGGCGCCCACATAATAAACAGAGGTGGAGTAGGCCTGCCTCTTTAGCTTATGAGCCTTTTGGTACGTCGTCTTTCTCTTTTATATAAGTTGTTTTTTTGCTAATTTTATTGTCTAATACTATTTGATTAGATACTCATATGAAAACACAATTAGTATTATAGTTCAACTAATTCTCTTTTTCATTTTTCGTTTGACGTACAGTTGAACAGTTATTAGAAAGTAGGAGTAGTACTACATGCATATTGTTTACACTTAAATATTGGTACAACTTAATTTGTTTACGTGGCTTAAAAACACGCAGATTGATATGATCAAACAATAAATGGGTTTATATATATAAAAAAAAATCATATTAAACATGATGAAAATAATGAATGAAAACAAATAATAGTATAGAAGTAATGAAATTGATTAAGTCTATTCTCCATAATGTTAATGAAAATGCAAGAAATAACATGTTTGATAGTTCCAGAGTTCTTGGTTACAAAACTTAAAGAGTAATAAAAGTGCAATGGAATATATATACAAATGTGAGGGAGAGATGATTTTTAAGCTAAAATCCAGATAATGTCTTGCGTGATTTTCGCTCTCACTAATGACATTAATTTGTACGTTAATTTTGTTACGTGTTGGACTGTGTAACTGTTGGAGACAAGGGCGTAGCTATAGCCATTTAAGAGTGTCCAATTAGACACCCTTTATCAGAAAATTATATATATATATATATTTAAAGAATATATATTTAAAGCTGGACATTCTTGACAAAAGATATGTCTTTTGCGCAATGATAGTGGATGTTTATTTGAATGAAGGAGTTCTGACTTTAAACCCCAAATAGCACAATATTTTTTTATTTTATTTTGACAATTACAAATTATTATTCTTGGACACACTTAATAATGATTTTCGTCGTTAGAGAAGTGCTAAATATTTGGCAGTCAATTTAGGTGTTTGTAGAATGGAGTAACGACTAACGTGTTTACAACTCTACAATAAGGTGGTTATTATTCAATATATAATAATAAATACTCTATGAGATAATAAAATAAGGAGGAAATATGGCTAGCTAGGATAAGGACTTGATAGTCAATTATCCAAAATATTGGACTAGCACAATTAAGATTTTATGGAGTATGTAACACCAAAATATTGAAAGAAAATGAAAGCTTTATTGATGATTAATGCATGGGGGGTCGTGTATTTTAAATTTTTTTAATTGTTGTTTCGTAGCTTCTATGAAATTTTGATCGCCAGTCATAATTAAAAGGCAAAGGAACATACTAAGAAATTTTACCTACCATTAGTCCATTATAGTCTGGGCCAAGATTTTAAATTTTGTTTATTTTTAAGAAGTATTTCTTATTCTAAAAAATTCAAAAATGTATTTTTAAATATTACTACATTTTTTGTTTAACTAACCTGAAGTATTATTTTAGTTATTTAATGGTTTATTATTTATGTAAAAATTTCACTTATCCAAATAAGAGTAAAATTGAAAGAAGAAAAAATTAACGTCTTCTTGATTTTGTTAAATACCCTTTGTTTTTAAATCAAATAAAAAGATAAAAACACCGCATATAATTTGAAACAAAAAAAGTATATAATAATTAGTAAATTATATTTTAAAATGATTTACAATTTTACAATTCTATAATAGCTAATTTATGAAATATTATACTTTGTGATTCGTCTGATTAATTCTTGAAGTAGGTAGTGAATTTTACAATTTCATTAATCATTAGCAACACCTATAGGCTATAAGTGAGTTTACAAATTACAATTCTATAAAAGCTATTTCCTCCTTTTATTTCTACTTCTCTGTTATATTAAAAGTATTTTTTTACTTTTAATTATCTGATTTAATAAAATAAAAAAACATGTTAAGAGTAAAGAGAAGCCAATTGAATAAAAAAAAAACTAAAAAAAGCCAATCGAATCTGATCAAGCACCAAAGAACAAGCCAACAAAAAAATCAAATGTGAGAATCCTATAATATAAAAAATTGATACTAATAAGTCAACAGAGAAGATAAAAAAGAGACCAAAAGGGATATATGTAAGCTCATAAATTGTTGTTCTTTTTAATTCTTATTTGATCTCTATAGATTTATCAAAGTTCAATTAGTTTAAATTTTCTTTGTATAAAATTTGTTCGGATTAAATATTTTTTATATTCAAAACTCAAAATTAAGATTTCTGATTTAATAAAAATCTCATTTCGCTGCACCATGATCTCTGTGATGTGGTACCTTCTAAAACTGTTACTTGTCTGTAACTTCTTATTTATGCTTGTCGTCTTACAACTATATAATACTACAGCTTTATGTTCTATTCTTTCCTTTTGTTTTCTTTTCAACGCTCTTCTGTGCTTTTACAACTTTATATTCTAACTTTGATGTGCCATTCTAATATCAAATAATTATCCATTTGACTTCTATATTAAGTTTTCAGTGTTTTTTTTCTTACTTTATCATCTCTCTTCTCAGTATGGTCGGGTTAGTTCATCTGAATATCTTAGTAAAAAAATTATATTATATATATAAGGTAATTTTTAAATTTTTATTTTTATTTTTTGAAATTAAATTTTGATTAATATTTAGAATATACATTTGCGATAATAATAGTGACATAAAATAAATTATAATTTATAATACTTTTTGTATAATTTTTAATTTTTATTTAAAATATTAAGTTGATCTAATCCAATTTAACTTCAAATAAAATAAACTCTTGATTTTTTATTTTTTTCTTACATGTGTATTCCCTTCACTTTTACTTGGAAGATTTGATTTGAATTTTGCGCACCTATTAAGAAACACTGATTAACATAAGTAATTTATTACCATAGCTATATTAGGGATAAGGGTCTGAAAAATATTACAATTTTGGTCGAATTTGCTGTTGCAATACTAAACTTTCATAAGGACCTAATACCTTCCTAGATTAATTAATACCGTATTTTTTACCCCCTTAACTATTTAATAGTGTATTTTAAAGGTATATATGTGCTCATGTGGACACATTACTATTTATAATTTTTGTATTATTTTTTATGTCCACGTGGGCAAATATATATGTTTAAAATACGGTATTAAATAGTCTAGGGAGGTAATAGGTCCTCGTGAAAGTTTAGTATCGCAACAACAAATCTGACCAAAGTTGGGGTATTTTTCAGACTATTATCCCTATATTAATTGATGTTTACTTTTAATTTTTCTTGCAAATTTGTTTGAGTAATAAATAATTAACATTGAAAGTAAATATGATTTTTTTTTTAATATGCTAAAAGTAATATGTAAGGCAAAAATATATTTTTAATAAAATGGATAAGTAAAAATGAAAGAGAGAAAAATATATAAGAACGGAGGAAATATTAAATATTTCAAAAAAAAAAAGGGAGGAGAAAATAGAGAATATTGACTTGTTATTAGAGACTTTAACTTTTGGAAAGTAAATAAATGAACTATTAATTGTAGAATAAAAAGCGCCGACAGTAAATAAATAAGAAGCCTTTGATGCTTTGCCTAAAGTTGGAGAAATTGTATGCGGCTCTAGTTAATGCCCAGTAGGAGGCGGATGTAGCTTGTTGATGTATGTATCGGCTAGTTTGGTTCGATTTTAAAATTTATCGATTTTATTTAATAATTTTTAATTTGAAGATATGTTAAATTATTATATAATTATTAAAATATTAATTTATCGATTATTGATCTTTAGATTATTGATTTAATAGTTAAAAATTGACATAAAAAATTATTGAAATTACTTAGTAATAATGTGACAAAACATATGATTTATGTATGCGTTGACAGACTGCATCTTGCTCAAAAACAAATACTGACATACTATAGAATAACCAAGAGTTTGAGTTAGTCAAAACTAAAAGTATGAACATGGTTTTATATACTGAATGGTATAAAATTAATTTATTAATCTACTATTATCGATTAACCCATTAAGGAAAAACCTCAAATCATTAAGAACCGATAATTCGATAACAAAAAAAATAAAAATCGTTATCGAAACCACTAAATCAATTACTCATAACCAATTCGGTTCTAGTTATCGAGTTTGGCTCGATTTTTAAGCCACCCTAAATTTATGTATGAAAATTCACTAATACGTAGAATATAATAAATTTAATTTTAAGAACTTTAAATGTTAAATTAGTAAAATTAAAATTTTGAATTTGTTTTTCCAGTGTCGAGTTCTTAAATGTATATTGTCCTAATTTATTTGACACTATATTTTTTATAGCTCAA